TTTTTTGGCCCGGTAAGGGCCACTGGTGAAACCTTGCCCACAGGGCACAGCATCGCGTTGGATAAAATTATGAATAACATCGACTTTCTCTAATTTACAACCCCTCTTCACGACGTATTTTCTCAAACTTTCACCGTCGAGCAGAGGGGTGTAGGGGGTGGGTGGAGATACAAATAGCATTGGGACAAGTGTCGAGCGAGGTAAGCACTCCAGAAACATCACGATCTACTATAAGACTTAGTGGTGATTTTGAACTGGTTCTGCGGCGCTGCCAGGGAGGTAGGGAGGTGTGTAGCTCACGTGAAACGGGAAAAAATATCTTTATTCTTGGCAGCACGAAAACACTTCCCTTCCGTTGCGTTTTCCCATCGGGTGATGCGCTCTGCTTGCTCATCAACATTGCCACATAGTGATATGCACTTTACAACATATTTGCGTTTATTTAGGTGAGGTGCTCCAATATTTAACGATGAGCAGTGGTCAGTACCAGCGTACAGTCCGCGAGTTACTTATGTTCAAGAGGTACCGCATTGAACTGTACGGCCTGGAATCGGACCAGTGGGCAGTAAAAGCGAAGGTTACCCTTGCTCATAACTTGTAACATTTTACTTGATTTATAGAAGTAGATGGGCTTACTGTTTTCCTCTATTCAGGGAACAATAGGAAATCTCGGTGATTTTGAAGAAATCATTGGTGAGGTGAATGGTGGTGGAAATGTGATAATGGCAGTAAAGATTGCACATGGCGAGGATGTACGTTTCCTTAAGACTTGCCACTCGCTCTTGTGCACTCTCGCAAGCTGATCAAGATTTCAGAATAAAGTTAGCGTATCCTTCATGGACATGCTTGATTTTCGGGTTCTGACGTCAGAGTTCATTGACTCACCAATGTTTGCTCAAGTAGAGGTAGGTTTCCTTTTGTATTCAGGGAGCCCTTGCTCTCATTTCGAGGTTACTGCTCACATTTCCAGCACTGTATTGTCGGTATAGGCCCGAGAGAGTGTCTGGTTTATGGAGACGAGGGTGAATGCCCGTTCACTGGTAAAGATCGACCAAAGAAGCTGAGCGCTCTCCTTCGAAAAGTGGGTGTTCTTGAAACAAATGGAGTCAATATAACCAACACAGCAGATTGGGAAGAAGTGCAAAACATATTCCGTCCAGGATGTGAAGGTATTGGCGCATTTTCGAGTGTACGGCATGTCCCTTATTCGGCAAAGCAATTGATGTATCCCTTTCAGTTTCTTCACTTTCCGACAATCTGAAACGATGCCTTTGTGGTCTGTTTTCTTATCTCAAGATGGACGAGCAGGAAGCTTACACGCACAAATTCACCCTGTCGACTTATCGCACCTCAGGATTTATGCATATCGACGCGGGCGCCGTGCGTGCGCTGGAATTGTTTGCTCTAAATTATCACCAGGGTGAGTATATTTTCATGCTGTTGTTTTGGATATCGTTAATAGAGTCCGGCTGCGCTTCTCACCAAACCGTGAGACCGCCAGATTATGTTCATACCCTGCGACGTTGGCGAATCCAGCCCCAAGCAACCGCATTAGGTACAGTCTTGTTCGCGCTGCCAGATGCACGGGCGTTTCAGTGCAGGCTGAATTATGCCGCGTCGCCAGGCCGCGGTCAGCTTGTTGTTGAAACAGTTAAGCGACAATAGTCGGTGGAGGACGACTGATTCGAAGGATATGATACGCCTTGCCGCTTCCCGGAAGGAAAAAACGGGCTGGCGTCGCGCCAAACCCATACCCCTGGACATGCCCCCATAAGCAGCGAACAAGACTGTAGTGCTACTATTGATATTGATCTACTAAACCAAAGAACTGCAGAATCTGCGACTCGATAGAAATCAGTCCATAGTTTCCATGCTTAGGCTTTGGGGAAGTTAGAGGATTGGGAAATCTGAGAAACAAAGAAAGAAGGTGAGATGCTAATTGTTTCTTTAGACTCCGCTCAAGAACACTCTTCACATCCCAGCGATGGAGTGGGCGCTGCTGCGTATTTTACTTGAACATGGCGTAGGGTATGTTTTTACGGACTCTCCATCTCTGGGAAATGGAGTGTAGAAACGGTGAACTTATTCGCGTCCAGCCCTTTTGTTAACTTCTCCGATTCTCCAACTCGGCTCTGGCTCTGAATCTGCCCCAGTTCATCGTTCATTGGACAAATGAGATGTTTTTCGGACAACTCAACTGTTCACTTTTATTTTTTCAAAATCACTTTTCCCTTCATTTCAGATGCTAAAGGCACAGCCGGTACTGTATATGGCTTACTGAACAAATGTCGCACAGCTCCTGGCCAGCGATTGCTAAGTTAGTTTCCAACAAGTATCTTGCTTATTCATTGTTGCCTCATGGTAAAATAAACCAATAATTACCTGATAAAAACAATACGTTCCACCATGTATAGTTGTGATTTGACTTTTGTGATCTTTTTGACACTGGTATTATGAGAACTACTGGAACTTTGCCCCCTCAGAGCGGTTACGTTCTGGAAAATTCTTATCTTAGGGGAATGGCTTGCACGCCCTCTTTGCGAATTGCGACAGATCACAGAGCGTCAAGATGCCATCGAGTCTCTTATTCTCAATCCTGACGTATGTTCATTTGCCATGATGTTCATTCCAATGAAGCGCTTGAGAGCTTCATAAACTCTTGACTTGGCAGAATAACAGAATCTATGAGAGTACTTCTGGAAGTTGCAATTCATTTATTTCTCTAGGCTCGTCGGACGTTGAGTGATATGTTGCTTCCAAAAGTCCCGGACAGCAGTCAGCTTGCAAGGAAATTGGTCCTAAGCAAGGCCAAATTGCAGGTGGTCACGATTTGGTTGATTATGCATTTTTCTAGATGCTCACATAAATTTTGTATAGGATTGTTATCGCGTTTACCAATTGGCCATGTTACTACGACACTTCGAAACCACTTTGCGCGACCTCTTTGATAACGACGAGAAAAATGCTCCAGCTATCAAGGATCTCATGCTAGTGAGTTTCTGAAGCTGATCACTTTGACTAGATAGACCCCTAAAAAAAGCCCATTATTTCAGGAGCCTATATGCTACGGATTATTGCAGTTTGACAAGTATTGCCAGCTGATTCGCAGTACAGTAGACGATGACTACTATAAGAAAACTGGAGATTTCCGAATCCGCCCTGACATCGATCCTGAACTATTGCGGATTAGTGAAGAGATGGCTGATCTGGAAAAGCAAGCCGAAAAAGCTAGAGCCAAAGTTGGTTGCATTTGACGTCTTACATTCATTTCCTATCTCTGAACTAAATTGTAGTGCAGAGATAAACTGTGAACTTCAGTAGGCGTAATGTCTAGACTAAACTCCTTTGCCGATCAAATTCAGATAGCGTCGCGCCTGGACATTGATTCCGTGAAGCTGGATTGCGCTCCTCAGCAAGGCTTCTTGTTTCGAGTCACGCTAAAGGTATGTTCTTGGATTCGGCGTGGCAGCAGTCACCCTAGACTGCCGTGCTCGCTTTTCACGAATTTCAATCCGATATAAATGAATTTGAGGAGGCAACCTAGTTCGGGAGGCGGAGGTGGTGTAGTGACAAGTGGCGCGCTTACCACTCGCGCGGTCCTGGGTTCAAATCCCAGGTCGACACCCGCCCAGGCCAACCAAGCCTTCTACCCTCCGGGGACGGTAAATTGGTACCAGATTCGTCTGGGAGGATAAGAACACTGACTTGTACATCAGCTTGCCCCCCGCAAGTCATTATATAGGTCACATCGCTTTAATAAGTCACTACGGTTCTGAATGGAAGTAGAATGAATGAATGAAGAATGCTCCTTTTCACGTAGTTCAGAGGGCCACGCGGCAGCGCGTTCTTGTTCGTTATACTACCGAAGCTTCAGTCCTATCATAATGCTAAACGATCGGACTTCGCGTGGGTTAGTTTTGCACAGCAGACCTGGCGTGGCCTATTCGGCCTATGTTGGCACGAAGTTTTGACAAGAAAGTTGTTAAAAATCGTCTCAGTCCTCATCAGCTACCAGTCGATTGTTCAGGAAGAGAAAAATCTGCGATCATGCAAGTCCATCTCTATAGTTGACACAACCAAAGCCGGAGGTGTGCGATTCAAGAACGATGATTTGGACGAAATCAATGAACGGTGGGTGAACATGAGCTTCCCTAGAGAATGACTTTTTCACTAAAGGAAACGGAGAAGTGGGCACCAAGGTCATTTGATACCCATGATGGGCCATGGCAGCAGCCGAAGGCGACATGTTTTCCAGATACCATTTCCAGATACTGAAGTTGATGTAGGTCATCAGTCCACATGGGAAGGAGTCCAGGGCAAATTTTGGTTTTTGTCGATTATCTGAGCGCGCTATCTGCATTGTTAATGGTGTTGAAATTACCAGTATACTGGTCAACTTTCATTTACTGATGTGTGGTGGTGTACAGTCTTGTTCGTTGTGGATAAGGCGTGCCAGTTAGGCAGCGTTCATACTTCGCGACAGCAGCGGCGATCGCGGCGACCTCGGCGATCGCCGCGATCGTCGGTACATGGCAGAGCGCGCCCCAACGCTATTACTTGCGCTCCGAAGGCTTTTGGGAAGAAGCGACTCAATTTCATGCTTTTTTTCCTTTAACTGCAATTTTCTTAGGATACTGAAGCTTGGTTTGACACAAAGGTGAACCCAACTTAATGGCTTTTGTTTTCTATTTTCTTTCTTGATTCAGGATAGAAATGAGCAAAAAGCGTGAGAGCTTCATTTAGGGTAGGTTTTTATTGTTTCTTTTTTCATTCGTCGAGCTTATACATGAGGTTATAAAGTTTTCACCTGTTGATGTTGCGTAAAATGATTAGTGTTTTGGTTCCTAGGTGAGTTTCTTTCTGTTTCTTTTTTTCGTCATGTTTTAACTCGACTTGTAAACTATAAATGTTTTGGAAGTTGGAACAGTTCAGACGACAGGAACTTTTAAGGCGCTTGCATAAATTGAAACAATAAAAGCAAAAGAAAAACAAAAAAGAAGCTCACCCAGGAAATTGGAGTTTGGCCATTATAAGAGAAAAAGAGTTATCACACAGTTCGCGTTCTCTTATTTATCAAGCAAGCAAGTCCACAATTCGTGCGGCGCCGCTCTGCCAATTAGACGATCGCGGCGATCGCCGGAGGTGCCGCGATCCCGCTTGTTGTTCGCGAAGTATGAACGCTGCCTTAGGTTTGACCATCGCCAGTTCGTTCCCCACCAGTTGTTGAGGTGGGTAAGCGACAACACAAGGTGAAAACGGTTGATACAGACGATATGATACAGTATTGTCGCTTGCCGAAAGAAAGAAAAGACGAGAGAGCCGGGCCGGCGTTGCGCCAAACCCATCCCCGCTGACACGCCCCATCATCCACAGTGAACAAAAGCGTATTGGTACTGGTGAAATGGGCTTCTTGGTGTAAAAGATAGCGCGCTTGTTCGAATGCGTTCTCATGTTTCAATTGAGCGAGAAGTCCATTTTTCACGCTCCACTCAATATCCTTCTAATCATTTCCGTGTTCTGTGAATATAACCTGCTGTAAACATAACTATAAAGGACAACTGATCGTAGTTTTTCAGCTATCAAGTTTTAAACGACATATATCGGACTGCACAGCAAGATCTAGAGAAAAAAGTAGTTGGAACGTGTGGTTAGTTATTCTTCCGCCACGGAGAATTCTATTATGATAGAATGATAAAAAAAACTACTAGCCTCCGCCTAACGAGTAGCATACTGCAGCTGGCTACGCTCCTGCTCTTAGTGGATTGAGCAGCGCGCTGGCTACAATAGATGTCGTAACAAGTCTGGCTCGTGTTGTAGCTGATTCAGCCGGGGAATACGTCAGACCAAAACTGGAACCCATGGGTATGATTTTTTTGATACGTTGGAAGTGATCTGCTTTAGTATTCCTTACCTTTTAAGGGAGCGGAATTTTTGAGCTACGAAAATGTCGTCATCCTGTACTAGAGGCATTGACTGATGAGCATTTCATCCCAAATGACATTGATCTTGGTGAGTTCACAGTTATTCTTTGGGTTTTGAAAGCGTTCCCTTAGCACGTCTATGTTTAGGGTCTAATCGAATGATTATATTAACTGGCGCGAATATGGGTGGAAAAAGTACCTATCTCCGATCTGCGGCTATTTCAGCGTTACTGGCACAAATCGGTAATTGATCATACTTTTTTTTCTTGGTCATACTTTTAGGCGCATGGTATTTATTGTTTGCCAACAAATTTTAGGGTGTTTTGTTCCCGCTTCGTATGCTCGCCTTTCCGTACTCGATGGGATTTTCACGCGTGTTGGAGCTAGTGATCAGCAGACGAGAGGCATATCCACCTTCATGGCCGAAATGCTTGATAGCGCCACGATTTTGGAGGTCACTTCTTTGATAGCGCATTGACAAAGACTAACTGTTTACTCTTTCAGACTGCTACCTCAAATTCACTGGTTATTGTCGACGAACTGGGTCGTGGAACTTCAACGTATGATGGGTTTGGACTAGCCTGGGCCATCGCCAAGTAACGCTTAGTTGACAGTTCCCATTATGCTCATCCGTTGAGCTGTTTTTTTTTCAGTGATCTCTTGAATAGAGTGCGCTGCTTCTGTCTATTTGCTACGCATTTTCACGAAATGGGAGCTCTAGCTAACCAACCAGGCGCTGCAGCAATGCAGGTATACACAACTATCGTCCATTAGTTGCAAATGTTGACCTTTATTAAATTAGACAATAATGTTAAATAGATATCATGTAGTCTTGTATTGGATGTGATTATTGAGGCCTTCACGATCATTTTTTGCATTGCGGGGGCGATATTTATCGAAGAAATCCAGATACATTCTGTTCCAAGATTATGGTTCAATTTTGGAGACAGCTCTGTAGCCGAAGGTGAGCTTCGAGCAGTGAGGTACGATTTAGTGATCCGTAATCCTAAGCAACCATGCTGCTGGTTGTTCTGTCGCGCCTACGTTGTTCGAGCGCGGTGGGAAAGGGGGAGGGGTGAATACTTCTGCGAAATGGTTATCATCTGACCATAAAAGAGTCACTGACATTCAACAACTGTATACGACCAAAGTGGCTGCGGCGACATCCAATCTGTGGGCATACAGGGGTACATCCGTAGTGATACCAACAATAAGCGTACGGTAAGGGTGGATAGATAGCAAAGGTTGCCATGCTGCAGTTGAACTTTGCCTTTTCAATCATTACGATACGCCTCAAATCCTTCACTGGTGGTAAACCTCAGTTAATGAGGACCGTTGAAAAGTAATGAAAAACGGTCGACATACACAGGAGGCTCGAGTGAAACCTGCTAGTGTAAAAGTGACAACAGCCTTCTTTGCCTTACTTTGCGACTGTGGTGGATCGTTTTCAGAGATCTCCGCAGTGGCTAACCAGTTTTTTTTCAGTAAGTAAGTTTTTCTCCACAAATAAATGCGCTGTGACTGTTGAAGGTAATCTGCTAGTCACTGCACCACCGAATTCATTTGTACAAGTCCCCTGAAGTTAGCACGTCTGGGATGTTGGTGCTGTTTGGTTTAATGGTGAAGAGAGGACTTCGTATTTACCAAAAAGCTCTCTTTAGTCATTCACATGTCAGCCTATCGAGCTAGGGGAGAAATAATATTGCGCAGTTTCCCTGAACGGCACCTACAAGGGACCGGAGATTTGTTAAAAGCAAGAGCTGGTGGAATGATAATACGATCCAGAACACTTCTGTACTGCAGATGTCTGTGGCAGTACAAGATGGACAGTTGACCATGTTGTACGAAGTGCGGCCTGGGAGTGGCTCAGAGCTCGTTTCGGAATTCATGTCTCACGGACTGTCGGCTTCCCCTGAACACATCGTTGAGGTATGCTCTATCAGTCTGATAGTGAGGAATTCCCTTTCCTGTAAATGAAAACCTCTGTTTTCAGGAAGCGTCGCGGATTTTGGAAGAGCTGGAGAATCCAGCGAGTGAGGCAGACATCGATGATCTCATTACGAAATTCAAAACCGCTGATGATGCTCAACTAATGCAGCTATTAGTTTAAATTGACACCCATTGCCTACAAATCTTCCTTTGCTCATTCTCGGTATCTACAGTGTCATCTGAATATAAATCATCTACTAAATAGTGCTCCTTAGTATTTTTGAATGAATCACTGCTCTACTGCATAATCTATCCGGTAACCACTTAATTCGGATCTCTATATTCAAGGCTATAATTCATTCCATCGATACTCAACATTGTGTTAAAGAAATACTTTGCTGTAAATTGTTATTTTGGTGTGTGTTGTGTGCAGATCATATTAGACTGCAGAAAGCAGACTCGACCGAAAAAAAATCTTGTGAGACCTAGGCTGTTTGTGAGTCCATATTTTGTTGCAGCGACCAACAGCGGCTAGGAGAGGAGGGTGCGGGCGATAGGAGGGTATCAAACAGCTGGTAGAGTATGGGAAGATAGGAGGGTAGCAGACAGTTGGTACTCATACCCCTCAGCTGTCTCCTACCCTCCTATCGCCCATGCTCTCCACTCCTAGACGCTGCTGGTTGCTATTCTATCAGGGCAGGGGGGAGGGGGGCAAAAAAGCACTTCGACCGAGTCACATATCAGCAAAGTTTTCGCAGCCCAGACAGAGGACGTGGACGAGTACCAGGGCGGAAGATACCCAAGATGTTCCTCGACGAGCAGGAGCAGCATCACCTTCACCTCCAAACCACTCGAATGTGTATGGAGTCCTCAATGGATAGCTACATGGGAGACCAGTTATTTCAATCGTGATAAACCTCAACATCGAAGCAGCTCCGACCAGTCCACTACGGTCATCGTAGACATCATCTTCAACGCAGTCCGCCAGCTTGCCAGGGTGTGATGGTAGGACAAGGAACACTTTGGAATGGATAAGGCCGACATTTTGTTCGTGGACCCCGGACTGAAGGTGAGCGCTGGCGATTACAGCGAGCAACTCAAGGAGAATATCCTCCCTTCATCTCGTCAAAACTCTCGCCTTCTTGGAATGGAAGGGCGCTGAGTAACTGAAGAAGATGAATATCTAAGTGTGTCACCTGACCTGAACCTCCTCAATTACTCGGTTCGGGCGGAGCTCAAGAGGCTGGTCTACAGTGACGGAGAAATCAACTATCTCGCTGAACTCAGGCACCGAATCACGGTAGCGCGGCAGAATCACTCGATGGCGCTCCTCCAGAAGCTGTGGCGGAGTATCATAATAGTATTTAATATGCTGCTGGATATGATGGTAGAAATTCCCCGGCCCTCAGATTTAATAAAGTGTAACTACAGCGCAGTGCGAAAGTCAAGGAGCGAAAAGTGACTTTTTCTGGTCCCCCATCCCTATTATACCTTCAAAAGTAACTCCGAGATGCTTGTGGTTGACTCCCGCCAAAGAATGAACGGCAAGGCGCCTACGAATGTCTTGAGGACTTTGTCTAGGGTATACTGTATTGACTACTACTATACTTGTTAATACCATTATGAAGGGATTAGATGGAGTTGGGCGTGTTCTGTCCAACTTGCCACTGGTTGCATCCAGGGTACAGCATCGTTGTGCGAAACCCATAGAGAGGAGTCGTACTTGGCCCTGAGGTCGAATCTCAAGGTCACTCAGAGCCGGGCAATGTTTTGACATTTCAGTTGAGTAGTGGGGGGGAATTATGGAAGTTTGAAGATGGTTTAGAAAAAAATGAAAATTATTATGGGATTGTTTTTTACAGATTGAACTGCTACGTTTAACAGCCCTCTTTTCATGCGAAATCCCCAAAACTACTTGACGGGTTCGTACTAGGCGGGAGACATGGGTTTTTAGCAGGTACAGCATGCGGATGTGCTCACATGGCGGTGTGGGTACGACCCCCCCCCTCGAAGAGGGGTCCAGACACGACCCCCCCCCCTCCTGCTCTAACTGACAACCAGATGCATGTTCACCACAAATGGCTTCCTGAAATGGAATCTGGATTCTCGAAAGGCGCACTCTGCTCTAAAATACAGGAAATAAAAGCTGTTTCCTCTGTATTTTAGCCTCATCGCAATAGTAAGCCTCGCTCGCATTACTCAACCCTACAATTTTGTCTTAGGATTCAAAATAAAACTCCTCGTTCGATAACTATGTATGACATGCAACTTGTAAAAGAAACACAATTGAAATAGCGGCTAATGGTGATCATTGATAGGCTGAATTGGTGAAAAAATAGCCCCAAGGTGAGCGTGTCAGGGCCCAGATGTGCATTCAATGAATGGTGACGGGGAAATAATGAAAACATGCACGACACAACAAAGCGAAACATGGAAAATACAAAAAATGCAGAGCTAAATGAAAAAAGGATAACCAGGCCGGCAGTAAATCGTTCCATACTTGGCTATTATCGATCAGGCTGCAGGGCGCAAGGCTGCGACCGCTTTCTTTGGAAAAACGTCATTGGAGCGCGGTTGTTGGACTTGCCAACGTCCTGGGGTCTGTTCGGGGGTTATATCTTTTTTAGGTGCGGAGCTTTTGAGGAATGGTGAGCAGCATGCAACGGCAAAGTTTCTACTGTTGTGTATTCTACCTAGTTGCAAACTGAACAATCCCCCGTTGGTGAAATATTCCGGATGGGTTTTGGATAGGCTAGGGGTAAATCGCGAGCTGGTTTCCATGCTTCACGCGAGGATTGCTTCGTTCAAACGCAATTTCATCAGGATTAAAAACGTCCTGAAACCCCTCCATCCTTTCTCTTTCCAACAAGCTTCACGGTTTTTCTGAAGACCCACTAGTTCAGGAGATATTTTAGATGGGTTACCTTGCGCTACCCTTAGACACCAGGAAAAACGGACTCCTTAGGTGGCCATATGTGATGATACACACTTCAGTGGCCTCCAAAAATAACATATTTCCCTTCAAATGATGGTAAGAGGGAGGCGGTCGCTATCACTAATCGGTTTGGTCCGTGCGCCGTGCATTAGGCTCCTACGGAGAGGTGGTGGAAAGGTGTAAATTCTAATTTCAGGTGCTTTTATCCATGCAAGCAGATGTTTGTTTAGGGTTTGTAAAGGACAACACGCACGAATCTGTTTGAGACGTATTATTTAGTCATCTACGTACTTACGAGTTCAGCTAATAAATGACACTATTTATTATTATTATTCTTGCTATATTGCTAATAAATCTTTTATTATTTTGTATTCCTATTTACATCCGGGTCTTCTGAAGCTTTCCGTCCGTTCCATTACCCTTAGCAATGACACCTTTGTACTGTTTGATGCCTAGCGAGCCTACTTTTGCGATACCCCACGTCCCCCGCGGCCAAGTACGGAACCCACTGTTTCGGGATGTTCCATGAAAGAGGCTTGTTAAAGGCGTCCCCCCCATAGCGCAGTTTAAAAGGCTGCGTTAAAGAATACACTTCATAATAAACTTCATTTTTTTTAAACATCTCCCATAGCTCCACTCCCACTATCAACTGAAATGTCGAAGCATTGCCCGGCTCTGAGTGACCCTTGAGATTACGACCCCCCCCCTCCCCAGCGGCCAAGTACGACCCCCTATGGGTTTCGCACAACGATGCTGTACCCTGATGGGTAGGATATCGCAAAAGTAGGCTCGCTAGGCATCAAACCGTGCAAAAGTGTCATTGCTAAGTTTGATGGAAGGAACGGAAAGCTGCAGAAGACCCGGATGTAAATAGGACTACAAAATAATAAAAATTTTTAGCAATATAGCAAGAATATCAAGAATAAATAAATAAATAAATAAATAAATAAATATCAGTTAATAGCATGAACTCGCTGTACCATGACTGAATAACGTCTAAAACAGATTCGATCGTTTTGTCCTTTTCCAAACCTTAAACAAACATCGTGCCCTTGCATGGCATAAAAGCACCTAACAATTAGACATTGATAATACCTTTCCATTACCTCTTGCGTAGAGAGTAAGCACGCGCCAGCTCGCCGACTAAATCGATCAGTATACGCCCGAGCTCCGGTCTTTCTCATTTTGAGCGAAATATGTGTTTTGAGTTTTCGAAGGTGTATCCTCACAATGGCACAGAAGGAGTCGATTTTCGGGTGGGTCAGAGGGTAGCGCGTCTGTGACCCATCTAAAATATCTCCTGAACTAGTGGGTCTTCAGAAAAACTGTAAAGCTTATTGGAAAGAGAAAAGATAGGGCGGTTTCAAGACTATTTCCTGATGAAATTTGCGTTCGAAATAAGTAGGTCGTGTTGAAGCATTAAAAACCGCTTGCCTATTTACCACCTAAGCCTATCCAAAACCCATCCGGAATATTTCACCAACGGGGGATTGTTCAGTTTGCAACTAGGTAGAATACACCACAGTAGAAACTTTGCCGTTGCATGCTGCTCACCATTCCTCAAAAGCTCCGCACCTAAAAGAGATATAAGCTCCTGAAAAGACCCCAGGACGCTGACTTTCGAGTTACCGCGCTCCAATGACGTTTTTGCAGCGAAAGCGGTTGCGACCTTGCGATCGATAATAGCCAAGTATAGAACGATTTACTGCCGCCTGCGTTATCCATTTTTTTTTCATTCGGCTCCGCATTTTTTTGTATTTTTCATGTTTTGCTTTGTTGTGTCGTGCATGTTTTTATGATTTCCCCGTCACCATTCATTGAATGCACATCTGGGCCTGACACGCTGACCTTGGGGCTAATTTTTTCACCAGTTTAGCTCATTAATGATCACCATTAGTCGCTGTTTCGATTGTGTTCCTTCTTACAAGTTGCATGTCATACATGGTTGTCGAAAGTTTTATTTTGAATCCTAAGACAAAATTGTAGGTAATGCGAGGCTGTTGTTCAGCCTCATATTGCATGAGGCTGAAACAGCCTATTATTGCCTGGATTTTAGAGCAGAGTCCGCCTTTCGAAAATCCAGATTCCATTTCAGGAAGCCATTTGTGGTGAACATGCATCTGGTTGTCAGTTAGAGCAGGAGGGGGGAGTCGTATCTGGGACCCCCTGAGGCAGGGGTGCTCACACCCACATTTCGCATGATTCCATTGCTGACCCTGGTTGCCTCGCTTCAGCCCGTTGGCACT